AACACAAGACATAACAACAAAAATCTGAGGAAAAGAAAACACCGTTTGCATGACACTAATCTAGGTCAGGAGTGACCAGTCTTATCCAGAAAGGGCCGCTGGGTATGCAGGTTTCTGTGTGCGGGTTTCTGTTTGCGGATTTCTGTGTGCGGGTTTCTGTTTGTGCGTTTCTGTTTGCGGGTTTCTGTGTGCGGGTTTCTGTTTGCGGGTTTCCCCTGCAGTTCCCTAATTACATTACTAATTAGTAAACTGATTGGCTGAAGAGTCCTCACACCTGGGTCATCCCAAAAGCCAGCAAACACCCTGGCCCTTTGTGGAAAAGACTGCTCATCCCTGCTTTAGAGCACTGAAATGTTTCAGAAATAAATGTTACGTGATGGGAATGGATGTAATTCTTCCAGCTATTCTGTTTGCTAAAGTAAGGGGGTGATTTTAAGGTTAGATTTTAATGGATAATGTCCATGGCTCAGTGAGTCAAAAGTCTGGATGCATAATGTTTGGTTGATATAATTAATACTTTTTTGCGTAATACCAATGGGTGTATCTGTGCATTAACTCTGCCACCTTAAACTCCATCCATCTACTGTCCATCCTATGCAGCCTCACAGGCATCCAGAGCCTATCCCAGAAGCAACGGGTGCAAGGCAGGGAACAACCCAGGATGGGGTACCAGCCCATCATCGAGCACACACACTGTTCACTTTTGCAATGCCAATTCAGTTTAGCATGTTTTTCGACTGTAGGGGAAAACCGAAGTACCCAGAGGAAACACGGGGAGAGCATGCAAACTCCACACACAGAGCCATGACGGAGACTCAAACCCGGGTCCCAGAGGTGTGAGGCGACAGTGTTGACCACTGCAACATCATACCACCAGCATCATAAGATAATTAATTACAAATGGAAATAGCATCAAGTGAACACTGTCATATCTAAATATTTTAACATATAATTAATAATGAGGTCCATTTTTTGATAACTTTATTGGTAATGAAGTCTGATTTGTCAAAGAACAAAATTAGAACACCATACATATACCGAGATGACAGATTGTGTTCAATGTGCAGTCCGATGTGAGCAGGTTTTGGTATGAAGTTGTTTAGCTAAGACTAAACCGGGGATTGTGCACAATGGTATATATATTTACTGAAAGGATACACAGATTAAGAGCATTTGTCAAACAAGACGCACAGGGTGTTTCTCTGAAAGACAGAGAGCATGTCATATGGGGCAGAAGACCACCCAGGCTAAGAGCGAAAGTCTTGGTGACAAAAATAACAAAAAATGTCACCTACTGTACATCCAGCAGGAGAAGCAATAGCAGAATGTGTGAAGTATGAGACTGTGAACGTCACAGTCATAAATCCTTTATGCTGTCATGGCTCTGAGACTCAGCCCGAGAGGATAAAGGGCTTCACACTGTTTGGCCATCAGCAATTTCAGGAGAATGTCGAAGAGTGATTTCCATAGATGGTCAAAGCCAGTGACCAGGAACTATGAGCAAAGAAACTGCCTAAGGAAATACACACACGCACACATACACACACACACGCGCGCGCATGTAGGGTAAACATATCCTTATGGGGACCGCTCATTCATTTCAATGGGAAAAATGCTAACGCTAACTATGACAACCTTAACCCCTACCCTGCTCTAACCATAACCATAAGTAACCTAACAAAATATAAGAGTTTTTGCATTTTTAGTTTTTTCATAGCAGTCACCGATTTTTATAAAATAGAGTTTTCCCTTATGGGGACCAGGAAACCGGTCCCCATAAGGGAAAAAAAATGGATATTTGTCACGTTATGGGGACATTATGTCCCCATAAGGATAGGTAAACCCGCTCACACACACGCACACACAAGCACACACACACACACATATGCACACACACACACATGCATGCACACACACACATGCACACACACACACACATGCATACACGCACACACGCACACACATTGGCGTACCTATCTAACTGGGGACCTTCCATTCTATTGCAAAAATCCTAACCCCCCCCCCCCCCATTCCCACTCACACAGATATACCTTTAAAAATGATATAGGCCAATTTTTGAAGTGCACCTATGCATATATGCATTTTTGTATTTGTTTGCTGAGGAGGATGACATTTTTTCACAGCTGTCCATCTTAGTTAATCATTACCATTGTCTGTATGCAAAGTAGGAGGACAGCACCGTCTCAGGAAGATCCATCGGGAAAACGTTTTAAAAGCACGCAGACAGCTCTGCATCAGCACTGTAATACCTCGTGATCGCCCAGGACGCCTGTGCCGTCCGTACTGCTGCGTCTGACAGGCACTAAATATAGTTAAATGGTGGCACTTAATGTACCTGTACATTTATTTAAAAACTTATTTAAAAAAAAAGGAAAAATTGTTTTTGTGCATCATGGGAAACCGTTTCAAAATATTAGGAAAATAACCACTGTTTCAGGATCAAATGTAGGTAGAATTAAAATTCCTTGGGGTACCCAGAAATGCCTCATTAAAAAGCCACAATGTACTGTATACGTGGGCTGCTTAAAAATCTTTTGAGTTTCTTTTCCATACAGAAGAGGCTGATTGGTGCTACTCCCGACTCCTCCTCGGAAAAAAATGACTGAATTGCTACTGGACTGGCGCCCCTTTCATCCCTTTTCATCAAATGTTAATAAAACATAAAATAGCGATCGCCCGAACGTCTCATTCAGCAGCCACTAACCTCCACACCGGGAGAGCACCACTGAGACAGTATTAGGCTTATTATTTCTTTAAATTTAAGATTCCCAATGAACAACTAAAATCACATGTAACCAATACAATGAATTTGCTGTACGGTTCCACTTTACGCGGCAGTTTTTTTTTGTTTTTTTTTTTTACAAAGACGACAGTGAAACCGGGATTTATGGCTGGAACAGACAGTGCTTTGAATACCGACTAAAACAGACTGTTGTGGGTGGGCATGCTTAAATTACATCAACGTTAATCTGAACTCCCACTGAGTAATGCAAGAGGGGGAAGTGGGGTTTTTTTGCACAAAGTTGTGGTTATTTAAATAAAACTGTATCTTTCAAAACAACAAAAACAAACAAAAAAAAAAACAGCAAATAAAAAATAAATAAAATGGAAACAACAGTAAATATATCATACAAGACATTAGAATGGATATTGAGATGTTAGTTGTCTTTGCTTAGATATTTACCATTGCTTAGATATATTCCGTTAATATGAATGACTAGTCCATGAATCCAATGCTGACACGTGCTGGTGACTTTCTTACAGTTCAATACGTCAGAAATAACAGCGAAGATAAAGAGAGTTTGAACAGAGGCTAAAAAAGGTCTTCAGCACCTCACTGTCCACCCCTGGCCAGGAACCCAAAACTAATTCATTATCCTCTAATACAACATTTAAAACACAGACAGGACTCAATTGATAGGGACGCAAGATGAAGGGATGCCTCCCTAACAACACCATTTTGTCAGTATTGACCTCCCATCAGGAGAACGACTCCTTACTCATGCTTACATTCAGTCTCGGCGTTATGGCTTAATCACAGCCGCTCAGCTTGTAGCAAACACACCCTTCTGGATGTTCCATTGTATATTACGCCACGGGCATCACATCCAAATATTTTATCAGCTTGGACACTCGTAATGAAGACATTACGATTCAGGCCAAGAAAATGGGCCCAGATTAGGAATGAAACAGTTTTGCTCATAAACGCATGATGCTTATAATGCTTATCAGCCAGTCTGGCGCTGAGATTCAAACATTTCCAGTAGTAACAAATTAATAAGCAGAACTTGGTAAAGGTAGGGAAAGAATTAAGTATGGTACAGCAAAAGTGAAAATGCTCCACGGAAAAGGAACAGGACACTCTAAAGTTATAGGATTCTGAAGGATGATACCAACCAAAATCCCAAAATGAGAATTTGGAACTCTTGACCTGGTAGAACCTGAGAGAAGCACCACTCCACTCCACTCCAGCAGGACCAAAGCGGTCTTAGTGAGGCTCTATCGAAGGCAGGTTCTTCTGCTATGGAGGGGACATCACACAGACATACACAAAGATGTCACAGTAAGTAATTACAAGGCTAGCTTTTGTCTGTCGGTCTCAAGGACTGTCATCCACTCTGATCATGTCTCTCCTTGTTTATTTAATTTAGATCCATAAAATCCACGGTCCGGAGCTCGCTGAGTAGTACCACAATGGTTTTCTGCTTAGTTGGATTGGGGACCCAATTAGTGGAGGCTGAGAAGCAGCTGAACCATAACTCTTCATCAAATGTAAGATGCCAGACTTTCCTCTTCTGAGTCTCTTGACACCTGCAGACTAAAACATCTCCAAGCTGCATTAAAGGCATAGAAGAAATTCACAATCTCGATATTTATTGCATGAAGTGTCCAAATCCTGTTTTGTTCAGGTTGTTATGTTGTTTACGTAACACATTCATTACACATCTATTACAAGGTCCATGAAGCCCCATGAAACAGTAAAGTAGAAAATTTGGCTCAAGTGTTGCCATCTAGAAGCTGGCACTGAAAGCCCACCTGCAGATTAAATACAGGCTGCTGGTTTGACCTCACCTGAAGAGAGACCAGTGGTGAGGGTTGACAGCGTGGTGAGTATGGAAGCAAGATCAGTAGCATAGACTGATTGAAGCAGGAATATGTAAACAAGATCAGCAATGAGGGTTGGAGGGTGAATATGATTTCAGGGAGCAGGAATAAGAGAAGAGCCACTTTAAGATACTGCGGAGTCTTCAGGAAGAGAGATGTGTATGTGGCTGGCAGCCAATCCCAGTCGCCCCAGCTACTAGGGAAAATTTCACAAATGATGGTACTTACTGTAACCTCAATGGAAAGGAAAAGAAAGCAAGAAAAGCAAGGGGTGAACTGAGAGAGAGAGGGACACAGAGAGAGGGGGGGGGGGGGGGTTGCGCGCATGTTTCACCAGCGTGAAATCATATGTGTGAGCACCAGGTGAAGTTTCACTGTGCCTCTTCGCAGCTGTGTTGTCAAAGCGACGGCTGGCTGAAAGTTTTCTACTTCGCAAGGGGAGGATCAGTGGAGAGCAGACAGAAGGAGCAGCTGCTCCTTTGACTGGCACCTGGAAAAGGCGAAGGAGGACACTGAGGAAGCAGGGCAGCACAATTCAGACAGAACTGCAGGGATGGGAGTCTCGCTCTAGTGATGAGTCGATCCGAACTCAAAGCCCGTTTCCTGGGGGACAATTAGAGAATCAGCCTTGATGGACACTGTAAGTGCATTCTATGTTTTATTTCTTTAAAATGTTTCTGTTAAAAATACAATTATATGAATTCATGTTATGTGTAGATGTAAGAATGTGGTACCTAGTTTATCTTTTGGAAGAGAAGAATTTTTAGTGAAAGGGAAATTCACAAGGCACTTTAAGAATTAAGGGGAACACATTAATGGACACTTGACTTGATTCATTTGACTCATTCAACTTTAAGGAGCACTCTGCTGTCTGAGTCGTATAACCTCGCGTGTTCACATTTTGTGCCATTGAAAGGTCCTGCCGGTACATTTAACACGGAAATTAATGCATTTTATGGGGCAATCTCGTTTCTGAGGACGAGGTCCTAAAAAACCTGTGGATCTGAAGACAGTCATTCCAGTGGCCTTTTTTTTTTTTTAAATCTAATTACTCCCTGCTTTTTCTTTGGGGGGGTTGTATGGGGGGTGGAGGGATGGATCCCCTGTCTGCCCCTGCCTGACTATCGCATTTCCCCCACATATTTCAAATGTTATTTTATTGATTTCCATCTAAATGCTCCAGAGATATATAATGATACAGCCAAATCAGAGCAGGCACCTTAATATACCTCTGTTTGCCCTTTATCAGTTTTTCGTTTTAATTAGTTTGTAATGTGACACGCTCTTGTGTTAATCGAGCAGAACCTCACAACCTGTTGCTAGGAGTTTTGCGCTGGTCACATGCTGTGGATTTTTTCCCCCGCTTCCGTCCATGAATTTGTATGCAAATATGTAACACAACTGTAATTTACCCTCTTTGCCAAACGTGCATGGTGTTCATTTGCAATCCTGCGAGGAATACCGATTAGCAAACGTGGCACGCCGTTCATTCGCATGCGGCGGCTGTCTCCGGAAAGCCAGACCTGCCACCTCCTGTATTCCACGGCACACGCGGCCCGAACGGGAACTCGGAGTCACAACCTCTCCCGTTCCCTGCAGACAGCTCCGCGCCTCGGGCAGAAACTCAGTCAGGATCCCCGGGGGAGAGGCTGTTGATCAGCCACAGTTGGGTGTGGAGTGCCTTGTGGAGAAACAGCGGTACCCCTCGCGTGGGCAGGTCGGACATCACCGTAATGATGGAGTGGGTGTTTTCCCACGCACTTCCATTCAATATGGAAAAAAAACACATCTGCTGCAGCAAGAAATGCAAATCCACAGCGTAGAAATTGTAACTCTATTAGAGTTGCCATTCTACCGAAATTATGTCCTTCATTAACCTCATTTTGAACTAGTGAATCGATGCCAGTCGGTTGCTAATTTAGCTCTTTCCCAGTACGTTTCTTACCTGTAATCTCAGACACTTTCTCCTCCGCACCTGCCCACGCTCTGTAGACCAGCATCTCCTCAGAGACACTTTGCTATTAGTCGACGAGGGAGTCGACCCACTGTCCGTTTCTTTTGGCTGATTAATAACCTCATAGTTTTCCGTTAATATGCATCCATGTCACATTTGTAAATGATATCAATCTGTAACAGCCCATCCACCTCGGATCTGACCCCTTTTCAGCAGCTTGTGGGGTCGACTCTCAGGCCAAAGAATATAAAGGTTCATCTTGCCCTACAGTACATATTATAAATGTTTTACATGCTGTTATGATATAATCAGATCCACCTCCCTGCATTTTCTGCTTCCCCTCCCCTGAGTGTCACACACCTGGTGAGACAGTTTTATTTAATACTTTAGTGTTGGCCAGTTGCAAGGATAATGAGTAACGCTTATCAGGTGAGTAACATTTTTCAGTTTTTTAGAGCTTTGTTGCCATGACATTTCATCTTTACAGATTCAGAGTTGATCAATGATTATTTCTTTACTGCCGTTTTTGCTGTTGTGTTAAAATGTGAGTTATTTAGATAGGAGTGTACGAATGCTGCATCATCTTCCCATTGTTATTAAAATGCCTGTTGAAAAGCTTTTAACCTCAACATTTTTCCCTCACGTAGCATTATTCTCAAACTTCCAGATGGTGGGGCAGTATTCATGCAACCCCCCCCCCCCCCCACAAATGAAGAACAGGCAATGGGTGAATTTTTCAGTGACTTCACATCAGGGAAACAATTGATGTAACTGCTTGCTTATCTCATGCAAATTCATCAGGCAATCAAGCAATTTGTGCAATAATTATACCTCTCGTTATTCCACTCTACATTTTGTCCACTGATGTCACAATTAGCTCCAGTCTTGACCTAATAGGGAGATAAACACCAGAAATATTTAAGAGACGGGGGGATACAATCATGACTATAATGGCAAAGTGATGTTGGTATTAATAATTGAGAAGGATTATTAGGATTATTCATTGGCATGGTATCAGCTGGACGTTCCTCGACCACACCATGGTGTGATTAGCAGGGGAAAAGTCAATGGACAAAACGTAAAGGTCCAGTGCAGGAAGGAGGGCTGTAGCTGCTACCCCGGGGTGCCGGGTTCAAGCCAAGTGGAAAGGGGTGAGGAATCTCGACATACACAAGACATCAAAGTAGTTAGAAGGTTAAAGGAGAAGTGTTGGAAAATCAGTGTGCGCTAAACTATCCAAAAGGTGCTACACAGGAAGGGAGAATTCACACAAAAATCGACCAGGAGCCCCCTAGAGGTGAGGTTGGGGAATAACCGCTTACACCAGCTTGAGATCTCTGCCATGCAAGAGAAATGCAAAACCTGGAGAGGACCAGGCATGCTCTAACCCATTTGTGAGTAAACTTGGGAAAGAGTCAAGAACGTTCAACCTGAAGAAAGACCTCAACAGCCTCATGATGGTAGCAGAAGCCTTGAGCCATCAGAGACCTCTGCGCTTTGCGTTGCTACGTCTTCACGTCTACAGAGGGTAAAGTGGAAAGCAAGGTGAGCTGAACACGCGATGTCAGTCCAAGCCACTTAATATAGAAAACCTGCTGCCATCGGCCAATTCGATTCATAAACTAATTCATGAATGTGCATTGATTTCAGTGAGGCTCATGCTCATTTCTCTATTCATCTTCCCGCTGTTTAATTTTAACTCTAATTCACATTTATACCATTATCAGTTCCCTGTTAGCAGATGCGTGGGACAGAGCCAACCAAGCGGGGAAAACTAAAAGCAGACACACTTTCGTTGGGCGATAAAAAGACTGTCTAGGGGTCACGCGCTAACAGCTTCTGAAATGTCACTACATCACCCGTGACCGGCCGACGCTTCAGACTCAATCACATTCTGTATGGAGACCCGCGGATGTCGGCTTTCCGCACAAGGGGAGATGGGTTCACACATCACACGCCAATGTCTCGGTCATTTTCAACGCCCCGAAATGGCTCATTACGCTGCCTGAACATATGCCTTAGATAGGGCTCATTTCACAAGGGACTGGCGAACACACAACTGTGATTTCAATCGAGGAAATCTGGGCCTCGTTCCAACCAAAACGAGGACAGAAAAAGAAATTGTACAGCAAATAAGGATACAGAATTATCAGCAGAGCCATATTGCTTTTGCAATCTTCTATCTAAGGATAAAAGGGGTCAGATCTATAGAAAGTGGGAGTCAACACTTCCCTAAATCAAATTACATTTTTGGAAAGCACAAAATAAGGCATAGCTAATAAACATAACCAAGGTTCTGACCTCAAGAGCTTCATACATGCCATGAGTTGGCCTTCTAGAGAATTCTTGACAGACCTGAGACGACAGTGATGGAATAACACACTCTTGACAAGACAGCTCAAAAGCTTCCATTCCAGAGAGACTGAATGTCACAGAGAGTAAAGTCATAACTGCCAGTTCTAATGTTAGTTATTTAATGTGGCCTTAATGTACATAGAAACATAATGATTTGGAGAATTTTCTGCACAGATGTTTATGCAGAAGCTCCTGGCAAATTGTCAAAATAAACTCTACGGCAGCCTTTCTGAGGATGTAAAGGGAGCAACAGGCAGTGCAGATATCCAGCAGAAATGTGCTGCACCTACAGAGCTGTAAATGTAATAAAGTCCAGAGGATCAGCAATCATCCACAGGTCAAATGATGCTTGGGAGATACCTACATCCATCCAGACATCATGCATCAGGAATCCATATTTCAATGGTGTTTTCAAATGCTATTCCGGTATGTTAAACTCTTTGCTAATTTGATAATTTGCTGAGGCGGGGTGGGGGGGGGGATGGATGATTTGTCAGCTAATTTTGTCGCCAAGATTTCAAAACACTGCAGTATGACCAAATATCATATTACCATAATACCACACAAGCTGAGGGCAGATTCCAAGTGTATGACTACATTTTTTGTGCCTCTTCCCTCACTAAAGTGGTAACACTTTACTTGAAGGGGCACAAATAATATTATGCTATTACTTATTTATTTACTTATTTGTATCTTTTATCTAAAGTAGCAACTATATTTGTTCATGATTTTTTCAGAATTTGTCCTTCTGTAGTAACTGAATTATTACTATTTGTGCCCGTCAAGTGTCACCAACGAATCGTTGCCTTTTCTAAAAAGTGAAATGTTCTTAGATAATCGGTCCTACCATTAAGAAACTGGACATTTTACACACTTTCAAGACTGCAGAGACTGTTAAACCTGCCATAATTTGTGGAACACAATTAAACTGCTGCATATTAAAAAAAAGATGTTCCTGCAATGATCCGACAGCCTCATTATTACACTTGCTTCCTGTCAGCATATCCTGTTATTAACTCTTGGTAATTATAATGCATCCTGACAGGGCCTCAAACCAGAAATACTATTGTTACCTTAAAGGGAAATCGCTTGTGAAATTCATTTTCTGTAAAGGGGTCCAAATTCTGAGTGGGTGGGGGATGTACAGCAATCAGCAGCGAGTAACTAAAGCCAGTAGTAATAATCGTAAGGTGACTTCAAAGCTTTACAAATAAGGTGTGAAGGCAGAGCTTCCTTGCAGAGGGCAGATTCCATTGTGCATCAGTACAGATGGGCGGTCACAGGACGACAGAGACAGAGAGGTGACAGAAAAATCCCAGGAATGACACGGAGTATTTGCTGCTACATTCTATCATGCAGAATTTATAACACTGCCTCAGATTGAAGACACATCCAGCAATAGTGTGACAAACACCCAAAATGCCACATCTCAGTTTTGCCTCTTCATTCCACGTTGGACTCTGATGTAAGACCGAGTTTCCTGTGCTTGGTTTTAAGTGTTTTCAGTGTTTGGTACCGATTTAAAAAAAAAAAAAACATCCTGGAACATTTCCAAAGATCATTATGGCCGAGTGCTAATTGACACGCCTCTCCAATCAGTTTATATACCTCACTCTCTGACATTTCCTGTTAAATTGGCATTTACATTTACATCATATTATTCATGTATTACATTGAGTCAATTCAGCGGTAAATAGCAGGGACAGACTGGGCCTCAGTCCTCACTGATTCCCACAGTATAAATCGATTACATTCAAACTACCATAAGCCAGATGTTATCAGGTTTACATATCCAACAGGAGTTCTCTGCCTCTCAATGCCTCTGTAATGAAATATTTCAATTTCTTGTCATTCTGTCCTCATACACCTGAGCTCCATTGAGCTATCACACCTTTCTGCATGTCACATGAGTTTTTTTGTTCATTTACCTTGTGTAAAAAGAACAACAAAGCCTAGCAGGACAGCCATTGGCCAACCATTCAGTCACATAAGATTTTTGATAATTTATCACTATCATGAACAAAATCCCTTTTAAAGGCTAGATGCATGTTCTCAGTCATCCTAAGAGCTGCCAGCATTTGTGGATCTGAGTCTTGGGTCTCCTGAGAACATGCAAGGTTTAGCGTGGCAAAGGCAGGAATACACAGCGAGCTGACCAACACGTGTGGCATAGAGCATCGACGACCAGGAACCAGCCAGCATCCCCACAGTGATCTCAGCTAACAGGGAAAGATGATCAGTCCCCCATATCTCACCATGGTGGTCAAAAAAGACCGAATGAGCTCAGCCAACAGCAGCCAAATCTTCTGTTTTCTGCAAAGTCATGCTTGACACAATGTCTATACATATAAACAGTCACCAGTTCTCAGAATTTCTGCTGTCTTAAACTCAATAACTTAGAAAACATTTTCTGCAAGCTATAAAAGGGCCAATTGAACAAAAAACAACATCCTACCTGAAACAGACTATTCTAGGTGCAGATGTGAGTCATAACTACATTCGCTCCTCACTGCTACTTTTGGTTTAGTCAACTGTGATGCCAATCCCCTAAAGCCAAGAGAATGGACTTGGAGGTACTAGGAATAATAGGGTCCTTCTGAGTCACAGCATGGACAAAACGGAACCATCTTCAGAGCTACAGAACTTCTAAGTCACAGGGTTCAGCATAATATTCACTGCCAAGTCACTTCAAAGTATTTCTTTGTGTTTTTTCCGGACAACTTTAAAACCAAGTGTATATATCTCACTGAAATAAGAAAAAAATGTCTCCTCACAACCCCCCCCCCCCACACATCTCCCCCGACAGGTGTCCAGAAAGTCGGCAGTGATGATGCCAGTCACGACTGTGGTGGCACCTTTGTCACGCTAGCCTTGCACCAGAGTGGAGACACACTTCACCGTCACGTCACAGCTGCCCTGCTCCCCAAGGCCTCGCCTTCTCAAGGTAGGAGCACAGCGTGTCCTCGCTCCAGACCTCATCTGACGTCTGTTCTTATCATTATTTACCCAAACAAAAAAAACATACACAAAAATCACAGAAGTACTACATAAATTTCTGATACCAGACAGTCTAGAATCTTGAGGGCCATATAGATGCACATTCTCAACTACAATCATTTAGAGCACTTTCCCCATTTTGAGCTTGGCGGATTAGTGTATGCAGATGTTTTTCACTCCGCTTGAGCATTGAAGCACTCATTTCCATATGATTTGATTGAATACTCTGTCTGTCAAGGTCTTTGGTGGTTTAGAAAGCCGTACGTTTTTTAGGACCACTACTAAAAGATTAAGATCAGAGGTAAACACATCATTGCAGATGCTTTAAGCAAACAAATGGGGCTTATTTTCCAAACGATAGAAAGAAAGAAAAGTCAGACGAAAACACATTAAGGTTCCCATGGTGTCCTCAGATGTTCGGATTATACTGGGAGCGGCACAGATGCCAGGGAGCACCATCATGGTCAATGTGACACTCAATGCCACACGGGAGCAGAACCAGGTGCAGTACAACTACCTGGCCCTGGTGTTGGGAGTCCCACTGGTTCTCATCATCATCCTGGGGAACGTGCTGGTGTGCCTGAGTGTACTGACGGAGCGCTCTCTGAAGACCGCCACCAACTACTTCATCGTCAGCCTGGCCGTGGCTGACCTGCTTCTGGCCGTACTCGTTCTGCCGCTCTACGTGTACTCGGAGGTAGGTCTACTACCAGAGTTAGCTCAGTATCCCCCGTCACATAAAAAGAAACATTTTGCCCTTTATTTTGAGCTCCGAAAGAATCTCCCTGAGTATTGCAGTCGTCTACATTCTTAGTAGGCATTCTCAAAGTTCATTTTAACCCATTTCTGTGTTACACAACATGGTTACTGTCACTATTTTAATCAAACCCTTTCATTTTGGGCCGTTTGTTCAGTTCCTGGGCGGCATATGGACCCTGAACACCTACGTCTGCGATGCTCTAATGACCATGGACGTGATGCTCTGCACAGCATCCATCCTAAACCTCTGCGCCATCAGCGTGGACAGGTAAGAGCGGTGGACTCACTTTCTGAGCATGGCTGTGATTATTCCAACACTTATCCTTCCCCTTAGCCCATAAAAGAGGTTCCATCCCTGCAGGAGTGGTTATCTAACCCCAAAAATGAGAGCTGTATGTAGCTCAGTTGGCTAAGCCTCTGTACTTGTAAGCAGAAGGTTGTTGGTTCGAGCCTGGCCTCATCACCCTTGTGGGTCCTTGAGCAAGACCCTTAACCCCCAGCTCCCTGGGTGCTGCTATGGATGGCTGCCCTTCACAGCCAACTTGCTCTCACCTACGTTGAGGGAAGCATAAAGAGAATTTCCCCATGGAGGTCAATGAAGTACCTATTAAATTTGTTGGATGTAGAAATGCACATACTGTAACAGTATGGCTGGTCAATGCAGAAACCATGCTAACTGCACCGTGTACAAAAGCATCCCAAAATGACGGCTCAAGTCTGTGCTCAACCATGCATAGATACAAGGGAAACATTTTGGGACCCCTGAACGTCACTAAGACATCATTATTCTAAAAGACACAGTTTGACAGCCTTTAAATATTCCTTTCCCGTCTCTCCAACATAAAATCTGAGACTTGCTCCACAGGTGTTAACCATGAGACACAATTTTTAGTCAATTTTGCAATCTCACGGCCCTGAGGTAGAAACCTCACAGATTGTCGGCTCATTTCATTGTGCTCCTCCAGCCCACTTGGCAAATTTTGCCCCAGTTGGCAAGTCGAAGGAGACTCTACTTTTTTGCTGTTTCACTCTTTTTTTACCACCCATCTCACTGTTTTCACTGCAGCTGACTAGTAACCCAACCAGACGGTGCACAGATCCCCAAACATAAGAACAGCGTTTCCTCTTAGGCGTAATCCTGACTTAAATGACAATGAAGGCAAAAATTAGATGGAAATCAGAGAGATATGGAGGGCTGGCTTCATCCCCAAGCAGGGATGACAAAGCCGATATTCACACAGACACATTCACATTCATTTTGCTGTGGATTTACAAAAGGGGAAACAAATCCATTAATATCAGCCTATTTCACTGCCACACACAAGCTATGTTACAAATGATGGCAATTTTGTTAATATGATCTGGGGAAGAGGAGGCGTCATTAGGAAAGGCTGCGCTTTACTTGAATTACGTTAGTCAGGGTAAATCAGGTGCAGGCTCTGATCCCTAATTGATTTTACCTGCTAAATCCACTTCACTCTCCATGCATATATGAAGAGGGGGAGGGCAAGCGGGCTAGCTTATGGAAGGATTTCTTTTTTTAGGGTCAAGAAAATTGAAATGTAGATTGTAGATATCAGGGAGAATGGTTAGAGAGGAAAAAAAAAATAAGTCCCCCCCCCACTGGTTTGTAAGAGCGTTTAAGCTGATCTGAGTGTGTCTGGGACTTGCCTAATGTACTGCGGTTCTTTGGGATGTACAATGTGTTAGGATTTTTAGCCTCCTTGTTGAGTGCAGTTATTTCTATTCCTAAATGGCTGAAAAAGCCAGCTTCATATTGCCCTGTCTGCTCTGCATGGTCTGGCTCACAGCATATGGAAGTGAATTAATGACAGAAGTCGCTGATGCAGAAAAGCACGTTAAGTTACAAAAAAGTCAAGCTTCATTGAAGCTTTATTATGGAGCAGGAAGATCATCGTCAATCTGAAAGTTCACAAATAATACCTGGGGCCCCCCGACCTCAACCAATAACAGTCTGCTAGTCTGAGTGGTACCCCAAGACTATAAACAAATAGCACTGCACTGTACATTTTGCATGTCACATTGCTGAGTCATTCCCATTGAATTGTTCATAGCCAACCGGCCATGAGTGTAGAATTTGTGCATCTGCAGGAGTGGCTGTGTTTCCATTGTTCTGTTAAATAATTAAGCCATTGTCTGAACACAACACAGTGCATTGATGCATAATGCAGGAGTACATATGCAGCTGAGCCAGGACAGCGATGGCAACATATTATGGTATGAAAATGCACCTTCCAGTACTGTGATGATTTTAAGCTAAAAGATGTTCAATGCACCATTTATTATGTTTACGACATAGCAAACACCCTGAATTACTGTATAAATCAGGGTTCTTCAAATCTGGACCTCGATTCCAAATCCAGGCCTTGTTTTCAGTTCTCCCAGGTAGTTAGTTTAATAATTACTGATTCTGATTGGTCAGAGGCTTCACACCCGGCTGACAAGTAAAGGAAGGCTGGAAAACCAGCAGTGCTCAGACCTCGAGGACCGTGAGTTGAATAACCCGGGTATAAATGAATGAGTAGAAACTATTAAGCAACCTACGGCTACAAATGTGATTTAGATCTTTAGGCTAAATATTCACTATACATAAAACCTATGAATCTGTCATTAGCCTGTAGAAAGTGTCCAAGCCATTGGCCCATAGACCTTGACAAGCTGATTGGTTGGAAGGATCGGAAAGGCTGAATATCAAATAAGGTTGCTGATCCAATATAAATACTTAAAAGGTCATCTTCAGTCTGGAGCTAGACTTTTCACAAGCTGTCCACAAATAAAAGGTCAGAGCAGGGGAATGGTACTCAGTGTTCGGCCTTTCCTCCATGGGCACATAATGGCCGACGTGCTTCTGCGGCTCTCGCAGGTACATCGCTGTGGTGTCCCCTCTGAAGTACAACAGGAACCAGTTCAGCATGAGGCAGCTTCTCCTGATCACGGCCACTTGGGTCCTGTCCTTCGTGGTGGCGAGTCCCGTCATCTTTGGCCTGAATCAGGTGCCCGGACGGGATGCCAGCGTGTGTAAGCTGGAGGATGACAGCTTTGTGGTCTACTCGTCCGTCTGCTCTTTCTTTGTGCCTTGCCCCGTCATGCTGCTCCTTTACTACTGGATGTTCCGAGGATTGAGGCGCTGGGGCGCCAGCCGCAAGGCCAAGTTGGCGCGGGGCGAGCGGCGCTTCTCGCTGGGTCTTCGCGGCCCCCGGCGCGAGCGCAAGGCCAAGTACCTGGTGCCCGGCTTTAGCCCCACTGAGACTGGCCCGGGACCCACGCCCGAGAGCGACCCCATCACCGGTCAGGCGGACAGCGCGTCAGACGCAGAGGGTCCCGAGCGGCCCCCAGACAGCAGCCCTGGGGAGAACGGGCTGCAGGGACACGTCTCCGGCTCTGGAAGGGGCTCCAGTAGCAGCCGAGTTAGCGGCCGGGAGCGCAAGGCCATGAAGGTCCTGCCTGTGGTTGTGGGTATGTATGAGGAATTACTTCCCCAGTACAATGAGCCTCAAGAACGTAGGGGGATACTTCAACATAACGTATATTTTCACTTTAGTAATTCTGCTGATGCCTTTACCTAAAGCAAAGTACATATTTTTTTGAGAAAACAGGGCCAAACAATCTTTGGGGCAGTTGAAGAGAAAATTTCTGTGGAAATTTAATAGGTTATTTCTTAGATTACATGAGGACTGAGTGAGTTCTGGTTCCCAGTACTGTAACATATGATGAGGAAGCCTGACTTTAGGTCTTTGGTGGTCTCGTGTCAAATAAAACAAAAACGGGAACGGAAGGGTAAATTTAGGGAATGTACTTGTTAAGTGAGATTAAAGGCCGTGTTGATGGGCCCACAAATGGTTCAAATCCTAATCGTAGGATTTGAACCAACAACCCTTCACTTATAGACACAGCATCCTAACCCCCACAGCCAAGTGCAGTAGACAGACTGTAACTGCTGTTCATCGGATTTGATCTTTCCTTTCCTTCACCAAAAGCAGCGGACCTTGTGGCGCAATGGTAGCGCGTCTGACTCCAGATCAGAAGGTTGCGTGTTCGAATCACGTCGGGGTCATTGGTCTATGGTTGTTTTATGGGGAATTGTGCAGGTTAGGGTTCCATGCCCAGAAGGCTGTTTCTTGAATCCAGTTGCCAGTAGAATAAGGCCCTTAACCTCGGCTGCTCCAGTGTTCCCAATACTGGTCGACCCTGCGCTCTTGATGTCCTGTGGAGTATTAAAGCCACTGAATGCTGGAAACATTCCATCAATGATATGCTAATTACTGGTTTCCATGTAAACCAGCCCTATACTGTATTATCACCTCATTGAAGCTCGTTCTATATATATTCTGGGTGTTACAAGATAATAATTATATGTCAAATTTCCTGACTGAAAACATGCAAACCGCACATACAAAGAGACAGGAGTAGGGGGTAGACGCACAACCACAAGGCTGAAAGCTGATTGGCCGCTGGAGCACAGTGAGTATGAATACAGGTCAGGACATTCTTGCAGATATACCGACAACTTTATATTATTATGTTTAAGAGATCATAGTTAGGAATAGTCTCAGAGAATCTTCAGGAAATCAAAGCAACATGCCATCCGAGGCCCACTAGACAGAGGACTCATACAGGGTTTTGAAATCTGTGTGCATATCCATGATCTGCTGGTTTCCAGGGTAAACGTGCTGCGACTCAATGCCCGTTCATTGTCCCTCCTTATCCTTAGGCTGCCTTTGATCCTCGGAGCGGCATTTTAAAGAGCTGGGCTACATTAACTCCAGTGTTCCAGTTTCCTATTCTGTTTACATCAGTTATGATTTTTCTGGCTTCTCTTTATTGCTTGTTTATAGCAAATCCCTGTAAAATTGTAAGACAAAGATAACAAAAGATTAGCATATGCAAAGATCAGTCTTATGCGATTAACTTTATCCACATTTCAGAACCTGAGTAATAAGCATTGTGAGTATGCAGGCAGAACTATCACTACACACCAGCTACTTTAGGAGTTCAAATCCCATGTATGTGGAGTTTGCATGTTCTCCCTGTGTAACGTGGGATTCCGTCTGCGATCCAAAAACATGCAGTTATGCTACCTAGTGTTTGTAAACCCTAGAGTGTGTGTGCCCAATGGTGGACTGGCATCCTACCAGGGTACACTCAACCTTTGTGCCCTGTGGAATAAGCTCAGGACCCCCTGCAACCTCGACCAAGATAATTGGTTTTAAGATGAAATAATAATTATTATGAAAAAGGTTGCTATAAGTCTAGTTCTGAAGATGGAATCATATTAAAGAGACTTGCGTTCCTCTTCCACAGGTGTATTTCTGGCGTGTTGGACCCCTTTCTTTGTGGTTCACGTCACCAAGGTTCTCTGCGTGCCCTGCGACATCGGGCCAACGCTGATCAGCGTGGTGACCTGGCTGGGTTACGTCAACAGCGCCGTGAACCCCATCATCTACACGGCCTTCAACACAGAGTTCCGGAAGGTCTTTCAGAAGCTCCTGTGCTGTCAAACATGAGGAGCACCGGCCGTGACTCTGGTTCTGGTGCACATGGCGCTGTGCCGTCAATGCCTTTAGGTGACGTCATCGTGAAGCGAGGCATGCGTGATGCACATACATACGTCTTCAAACTATGCCGTGTAATTGCTGTAAAATATCGCTTGAATGCAGTAGAAAAATAACTATTGAAACCTTAGCCCAGAGGCATAAAATATGTGGAAAAAAGTTTGTTTGTACTCAATTTGTGCAAGTTTCTTTGGAAAAACAGTGTAATCGTCCTGTTTTGTTCTCTCCTCCATAACAACGTACTAATTTTAATTGAAAGAAGGTCCAGCATCACTCCTTGCATTATCGATTCAATATAAAGAAAATTTTGTTACCCCATGAGTTTGATTCAGGAGCTTCCAGTGACAGCAGAGGCAAAAATATTGTGGTCAACAAGTGTGTCTGTCTTCTGATCTACTATTACAATGTTACAAAGCTTGCAGGGATGATGGGGGCTCAATGAAGTTCAAATCCAGGGGGTTTGGGTTTGATATTTCCTGAGCAGAGAACTTTGCCCCATGGCTCAGTCCCGCAGCTTTCTGGAAGCCTGGCACCCTGTCTCCTTGTTTCCAAGTTTCCATTCTCTAAGTCTCCATGTCTTGGTTCCTATGCTGCAGTTCCACAGTTCACCAGAATGGTACTCTTCTAGCACACCTTGCTCTGGAACCTTCTGCCAAGTCAGCAGCCCCAAGTCCTGGTAGTTGCCTGTTTCCTGAGATGTTCTACCCTATGGACTCAGGGACTGTAAAGCAGAACACTTGGCAATACAGGTGGGAAGGTCCAGTTTGGGGTCTATTCTCATGTTGGATCAATACAGTGTCTTTACCACACTCCTTGTGTGCTGTCCAGCTGTGAAAAGAGGTTTTTGAGGTTTTGTGGATGACATCAAGTATTGTTCTGATGAAGATATTATATGTTAACAAAACGATTTTTATCAATGGTGGAAATAAAAGGAAAAATGTTCTAAAGGGATATGGAAATATAAATATTTACTTTTTGATGAATTTGAGAATATGACTTGTGCATCTAAGACACCATGCGAAGTATTATGGTATGTGAGACTTTTTTCCCGGTCATTAAGAGACAATGATTCTGTAAACAACATTGGACTTGCTGTGCTTTGATGCTGTGACTTTTCCCCTATACTCTGCAAGACCATTCTTCTTCTAAAAAGGCATTTTCTTAAAGCAGGAACTGGGTTGACATTTAACCAACATGCCAGACAGACACGTAAATTCACCAGCCATCTGCGTCATGATCCTCACTCTGATTAGGAAGCATGGAGCTCATAAGGACACAGAAAAATAAGTGCATTAAAACAGTATTTCCCAACCCAGTTTTTGGGGACTCACAGACGTTCTACATTTCTGCTCCCTGCCAGACAGTTCACAGTTTTGCTACTGGGAGCTGGGAGGGAGCAAAAACCTGCACTATCTGTAGGTTTCCGAAGACCAGATAGGGTAACACTGCATTAAATGACTGGAGACAGGCACTATACCCAACTATATCCAACAACAAAATAGAATAGCTAAAGCTATTAGCTATAGTCACTTGCTATGGTTATTGCAGAAGCTTCCAGGTAGAATGTAAATCATAAATGGCATTCTAAATCTCCACAATCCAGGATACTTCCGCAGATCTGGCACAGTTTGTTTGTCTGTGACAGGCGCCTAGGTGATGCCACACAAAAATAGACTTGAATGAGGAACTGTACAAAACCTTGGCCGGGGGGGGTTGGGGTAACCAAGGTAACCAGTCATAATGAAGAGGTATAGAGGCAGTACTTTAGGACAAGGGGGCCCAGTGGATACATTCCCACCCAGCCTCTTAACATTACTAATTTCCATTCCTTTTATTTGATTATCAGTTGGCACAGCAGAAACGTATGCAAAGAGCTAAGCTTTTATCAAGCTTATCTTCACGCAGATGAATTTTACACAAAATTCATGGAGAGGTGGAGGAGCGATTATGACTTCAGCTCTAACCCAATGATATCAGGTCCCACTGATGACCACTGACTCCTACTAACACTCTGCAGTGAAAATATTCTACATCAATACACATTAGTATTACATTATGAATGATTGAACAAATTCAAAGAGCAACATCAAAGTTAAAGTGGACAAGCTTGCCTGGGCTATAGTGGGAATTGTGTTTTGACTACAGGGGTTCGCTTTGCACATTGAAAATAATGACTCCAGAATGAATCCCGGGGCAGCATGGTCAGTCAATGGGGAGGCCTAGTACTTCCTGGAATGGGCTCCAGGCTCAATGAGACCCAATATTCAATAAGCCACTAAGAAGAAAGATGAATAAAAAATATAATATAAAACTGGATTGATACAGAAAAGAGTAGCATGGCCCCTAAGCAAGGATGGCATACAAATTTGTGAAGGCTAATATTCTGGAGGCAATGTGTGACAATGAGTTAAGATACTGTGATTGGAAGGTTACTAGTTCAAATCCCATAGTCGGCAGAGTGATATTGAGCATGAGCGCTAACGCCGGATGCTCCAGGCACCAGCTGGTCCTGCTTTTTTTGTTGTACCTTGCTTTGCATAAAAGTAGCCAATTGCACTTGCTCCTCACCTTCAGGACTGGGGCTTCAGATCCCAGCTTGTTCTCTGCTCTTGTTCTCTGTGCTTGTTCTCTGCTGTGTGAGTTTCTTCCTGCAGTCAAAAGACATTTAGACATTTTTTTTTTCTGGTTGCAATTTTCAGACCCAGTAAGGAGAATAAAAATATATATAGTTGGCTGTCTTTCGTGCTTTTTCTGCTGTGTATATCTAATGTATTGGGACCAGTGTTTGGATTTTTGAATTTTCCCACAGGGATCAATGACGTGCCGTCCTCATTATTATCACTGTTTTTAAATTCCCTGCACACCCCTGTCTGTACACTCCAACATCTAGGTCTCTAGGAGCCTAATGGCATGCAGTCTATGTTAGCATGATAAGCACAGGTTACAGGCTGAGAGATGAGGAATGACTCAAACAGCACCCCCTATGTTCCTTTTGGGGGGGGGGGGGGGGTTTAGAATCCTTTCCTCTAAAACCATAGTAACATTTACAAAAACACCAGAAAGCAAAAGTTCCTTCGAAGTAATAATGAAAACCGAAACCTCCTCAGTGCTTTTAATTATTTGTGCCCCAACTGTGGAAAAAACAATTATTCTTTAGATTTTAAATTGCTTTGATAATTAGGAGGAGCTGAATGAATTAAACTTAAAAATTGAAGTAATGCATAAACCATTCCCCATAACAAAGTGACACAATAACAATTTGCTCTTTGCCTATAATCTCATCTCAAATTAAAAATGATAAATAGATAAACTATTTCCCCAAAGTTTGACAATCACATTAATTATGTTCCCATGCACAGTACCGCAGGTAAGTTTTCTGAAGGTCAGCTTTCTCATTACAAGAGAGCTAATGTATGATTTGCCCCCCCAAAACTAATATTTAGTGCAGTGGAAATTAGAGCTTTTCCTCTTAATCCAAGGTCATTGCCAAAAGGTGATCTATATTCTTTACAGTAGAGCTTTTCAGCCTGGGCTCTGCGACCCCCTGAGGGTCCATTGAGCATATGCAGGGGCTCTACGGAAGATATATCGCAAACGGGATAGAATTATAATTTTACAATATCTTTTAATGTAATATGTTCAAGTGCAAGGCCGTAGCCAGACCTTGTACAATGGGTTGGGGAGACTAGACTAGTGTTTCCCAACCCAGTCCTCGGGGAACCCCGGAAAGTCCACGTTTTTGCTCCCTCCCAGCTCCCAGCCAATCAGGAATACCGAATACCTGGTACAGGTGCGCTGGGAGCTGCGAGGAAGCAAAAATGTGGACTTTCTGGGGCTCGCCGAGGACTGGGTTGGGGGAAACACTGGACTAGACCCAGTGATTTTACTGGGGTGAGATTGGGGTAATATTTTTGTTAACTGGAGGAGGGGGTTCCCCCTTGGAACATTTTGCCAACCATGGGGACATTATTTATCTCGCGATCCATGGATCGGCCAGCTCTGGATTGCAGGATTATTAAATATAAAGTGTGACGTGCCTGGCACCAGCTGTTACTGCTGTCACCTAGCATGCAGGGCGGGGCTTCCTAGTGATCTCCGTGATGCCGAATGTCGGAGGCTGAACAGTTTCTCTTGTGAAAAACACCCATTGGGTGACATTTCACAATACAGCTCCTTACTAACCTAGTAGTAACTTAGTTACTATTCAAGTACAACTCATGAACAAATATAGCTTGTGGTTAATTATGGGCTGATATTTGTGCCACTAGAAACTGAATATGAATTTTGTATATTTGAATCTGCAGTTATCCGCATTGCAAAACTGAATCTGAATTTAATAGTTTGAATCTGAATTCCAATAACTTGGAAACAGCATTTATCCTCCCTGAAAAGTTTTCAGTTCGCAAATTCAATTTCAATCTATTGTGACACACATCCGGGTCCTTGAGGAAAAGTAATCGACCGCAGGTTCACAACGCAACTCATTTCCACGTTTACGACAGTTCTGCAGATCGGGGTAAAGAGGAGGCGTGTGCCGGGGTGTCACAAGCGCAAATGCAGGATCATATACGCAGTCATCATATAAAAATTAAGCAGTACCGGAACTGCTATATTTTAATCTTTATCGTACCACCACTTCTCACAAGTTGCCAGTACTCTGCTACTCAGAGACAAGCGTCACGCGAGAGTGGCGGGGCACCGTGCGCAGTACCGTTAGTGTTATTGAGGCGCTTCTGTTGTTCCCAACATCCCCGCCGCCGTTCTCACGGTCAATACAGTAGCGACACTTTTATTTCTCCACTTCGAGCGCTGCTTATACAGATCACCATATTAAACGCCAGTCCAACTGATGCTTCCGGTTATTAGCACAGTACACAGAGAGCGCTGTAGACATGCAGCAGACCAGACGCATAGCACTTCAAACCCGCTTTATAACTTTATATTTAGATCGATACAGGGGTATGTGTATCGATGCACTCGTGTTGTGTTTTTTTCTTCCCCGCCAATCAGGAGTCAGGAGCCGCTTGTGTAGATCTTCAGATTCAGCCTTTACTGCCACAGTGAGGTTACAGCCAAGGCTGGACACTCTGCAAGAGTGTGTCCAATACTGTTTTACACTAATTTTTATACATTTTCATATCGTGTAACAATATCTCATCACTTAAGTATCATCATTTCTTCAACCATTCACCATTGTTGTTTTCTCCCTTGATCCACACCCCTAGGTGATGTTTGTCAATCATCTTTTACTGTTTGGTCCCTCGGCTGAACATAATGGTGGCATGACCATCTCTAGTTGTTTTTTTTAAATACCCAGCCGTGACCTTTTGCGAATCCCTTCCTTCAGTAGCAAACCTTGCATCGGTTTTTGTCAGTCACGTGTCTGCACTGTCTGACTGTTACGCTCGCAGGGAAGGACGAAGACAGGTAGGCAAGAATGTACAGCAAGCTGGTTTATTCAAACAAACAAGGCAGACTGTGACGCACATCAATGACGGATCTGGGGAATACTGACTCAGACGCGGACTAAATACATGGAACAAATTCAACATAACAGGCAACAGGTGAATACAATCGGGAATTAACAAGAGGTAACGAGGGGGGCGTGGCACACACGAGGATCGGACGAGCCGGGCGTGACAGAACCCCCCCCTCCCCAAAGGGGAGGTGACGGACGAGACGAGACTGGGGAAACAGGACCTGGAAAACAAGAGCAAAGAACATCAATGAGGGACTGGGAACAGAACAGAAACACAGAACAAGCACAGGGACAGGAAGTAGGACAAGACCCGACACAAAACAGGTAACGTAGACAAGCAGACCAGGAAAGGAGACATGGAGAGCACAAAGAACGGGGGAACAAAAGGACCAGGAGTAAACAGAGGAGACACACAGGGACTAGGAGTAAAAACAGGAGGGATGAAGGAAGGAGGCGGAACAAAGGCAGGAGGACAATGGGGAGCCCAAGGGGCCACAGGCGGATGGGAGGCCGGAGCCGGAGGGGACCACACGGGACGAGGAGACAGACAGAGGGACTGACAGAGGAGGCGGGGAGGGAGCAGGAGGGGATACTAGTGCAGGCAAGCAGGAGGGGGAAGCCGCGGCAGGCAAAGGCGCAGCCGGAGTCGGGAAAGGCGCCGTCCGACGCCAAGCTGAAGCAAGGGGACCCGAAGGCGGGTGATGGGGTGCCGCTGGAGGGACCGCAGGCAGGCGACGAGGCACCGGAGGGGGACCTGGAGGCGACAGCCGAGCAGGAGCCTCAGGACCCACAGGCAGCCACCGAGCTACAACCAAGGGACACATGGGCGATCTTCCACCACCCCAGTCCCTGGGACCCAGTAGGGTAATACAATCCGGGACCTCCTCGGGGACAGAGATTTCAGGGGTTGGTGTCAGGGCCTCGGGCAGAGCAGGAGGCAGAGGCCTAGGAGCCTCGTGCGGAGCTGGGACAGCGGGCGTAGGGACCTTAGGCAAGAGTGGAGGCGGGGCTGTAGCAGGCGCCTCCGGGGGAGCAGGAGGCGGGGCCGGCGCAGAAGCCCTGGGTGCAGCTGCAGGTGGAGGGGGAGCCGGAGCAGGAGCCTCGCGAGCAGGAGCTTCGCGAGCAGCAGCGGGCAGAGACGGGCAGGATGGGCGGAGCTAGCAGGACCTCAGGCGCGGGTGGAGCTGGCAGGACCTCAGTTGCGGGCAGAGCTGGCAGGACCTCAGGCGAGGGTGGTGCAGCAGTGACCGCCCACTCTCGGCCAGCAGGGGGCGCCGCAGCAGGCACCACCAACTCTCGGCCAGCAGGGGGCACTGGCGAAGCAGGCAGGACGGGCGAGACGGGCAAGGTGGCGACATCAGGCAGGGCTGCAGGCGTGGCGGTGGCAGCAGGCAGCACTGACTCGTGGCCAGCAGGGGGCACCTCAGCAGGCACCGCTGACTCGTGGCCAGCAGGGGGCGGCATAGCAGCAACTGCCACAGCAGGAACCGCCACAGCAAGGACCTCGGGCGTGTGGCCAGCAGGGGGCACCGTAGCAGCAACTGCCGCAGCAGGAACCTCGGGCATGAGTCCAGCAGGGGGCGGTATGGCGGCCGCCGGAACAAGCGGGACGGGCAGGACAGATGGCGCCAGCGAGGCAGGTGGGACGGGCAGGACAGGTGGCGCCAGTGAGTCAGGCAGGACAGGTTGGACAGGCGCTGGCGCTTTTGAGGGAGTCTGTTCTGCTCGCAACTGGAGAAGTCTCCTCAATTTGTGTGCCAACCGTTCCAAATCGCCCTGCGGAGAAGTTGGGGTAAAGGCAGCAAACTCTCTTTGAAGCTGTATGGAGAGCTGGGTGTTACGCTTGCAGGGAAGGAAGAAAGCAGGTAGGCAAGAATGTAAAGCAAGTGGGTTTATACAAACAAACAAGGCAGACGGTGAAGCACATCAATGACGGATCTGGGGAATACTGACTCAGACGCGGACTAAATACATGGAACAAGTTGAACATAACAGTAACGAGGGGGGCGTGGCACACACGAGGATTGGACGAGCCGGGCGTGACACTGACACGCCCCCATTCGCCATTTTGAGTTTATCGCGGATGTAAACACATTTGGTTAACAAACTTAATATTTCATATTCAGTGTTTTTTTCTCCACAAAAATTTAATGTTCTATGTAATTAGTAATTTTCATTACCAAAACACACGGCCGGCTGGGGGTGACTGGGGCAGCCACGAAGAGGGCTATCCAGGCTGTGAGTGAAGCTGCAGAGAAAGCCACATGGTGGCTGTGGCTCAAGAGGGCTGATCCGTGGGTAGCTACTGGTACGCAAGTCGGGGCCCGATCACCCCCGGCTGGGTCGCCTGGGCGAGGGTGTCTGATGTTGCGACACCCGAAACACCTGTTGACCCCAGGATACATCACTGATGATGCATACCAGGGCATCCAGGAGATGTTTCTTGCATAGGTGTTTAAGAAAGGAAAAGAGTCAAGAACACCACAAAAATGTCATATTGCATGGACATAACTTTATTGGTCATATTTACATTCTCTATGCATTATGAAGTGCTAAATAATATTCCATACTCACATAAAATTAATACTGATTTCCGCCTCATATCGGCGAGATGAATATTTTAAAAGATATTCAGCATAAACACTGCTAGAAAGCCACGAAATGAACAGGCGAGCCATAACATAAACTAAACTAGAAGTAAAATTCATAACCGTAGCTAGTTTTGCATTAGTCTACCATATTAACATAAACTAGCAGTGCCAGAAATCGTTCATTTAACCACATATACTACCATATACTAACCAGACGTATGGTTAATCTTTATGCTATCGCTTGTGTATATAAAGCTTATTCTCATATGTATCACAAGGTAACGACAAACCTGCGAATCCAGCATTTGTTTTTCTGACATCCCGGCACGCCTCCACTTTACCTGACCTGCAGAACTGTCATAAACGTGGAAATGAGTTGCGTTGTGAACCTGCGGTCAATTACTTTTCCTAAAGGACCCGGATCTGTGTCACAATAGATTGAAATTGAATTTGCAAACTGAAAACTTTCCAGGTAGGATAAATGCTGTTTCAAGTTATTGGAATTCTGATTCAAACTATTAAATTCAGATTCAGTTTTGCAATGCGGATAATTGCAGATTCAAATATACAAAATTCATATTCAGTTTCTAGTGGCACAAATATCAGCCCATAGTTAATTAATACATTTAGTAAGACATAATTCATGATTAATTAAGAGCATAATAGTATATTTGTGCCAGCTCAAGTAAAGTCTTGCCATTTAAATTTAGATTAGATTAGACTTTATTAATCCCACAATGGGGAAATTCTTTGAGAAACAGCAGCAATAATGA